TCTTCCAAAGTAGCAACAGTGATAATGGCTCGAGGGTGTGGATATACATGAATAGAAGAAGCTTAAAAGGATGCGGAGTTGAATCTTTGTTCTGCAATATCTGATTGTCCACATTCTTCCTCTGCTTTTTTATTTGAAGACCCTTTTCTACATACACTCCTTTAATAATAAATCACAACACAGAGCTAGGGTAAATCTCTTCTAAATAGTGAATATTGAGGCCTGAATATTTTTGAAACTTTTTCAGTATTTTTACTGTATTTTTAAAATTTTATTGTTACTAAATGTTTATAGTTACTTAAGTAAATACTATTTTATTTATAAATGCCAAACTTGTGCGTTATCACCCTCTCAGTTGTATGTTACATTTCTGTCTTTGGTAAGATGAAACAGGAATTTGTGGACTTACGAACCAACAAGCTGCAGTACTTTACTTTTTTATGACCTAAGTATATATGTCTTGTATCAGATGTTCTTGCTATAGAAACAAACCATGTAGTCGTTACATTTTTAGAAATTTTCTTATATCCCATACCTACAGTGGCTCACTGATGATATGGTTAAGTGACAAACCATTTCAAAGTGTAGCTAACGATTCTAAATATCAAACTACATCTTTAGACCTTTTTTAAAAGTTGTATTCACAAGGTTATGTGGCTTCCTGACATCCAGTATTATTAAGTTAGACTTAATCGCTTTAGCTTCCCCATTAGTAGGCACATTGCTGGACAGTACAAGCTGTTGTAAGTTACACATTACTAGTTCCAATCTTACTTCTGCAGGCTGGCAGTGCGACTCTTACTGAATTTGATTTGAGGGTTGTGTGCATGTCCATTCTAGTCACGAGATGTTATTCTGATTGCCCTCAGAGATACTCTAAGAAAATAAGTACTGAGAGCAAACAAAGATTTTTGAATGCAGGGATTATTGAAGGCATTCAATATAAAGAGAAGTGTAAGAAGGTCATACTACTTATTCTGATTAATAAACAGTTTAGCTAAAATAACCTTTTTCAGAATGTAAGAACAAAGAATTGTTGAATTTAAAGAGCAACCAATTTTATATCAGTGAGATGAAATTGGTTTTTATATAACACGTTGTTAACCTGTGTCACTCACTGACTGGGGGAAGAAAGTCTAGAGACCAAACAATTAGTAGTTATCTAAGTACCTAATCCTTTTCTAATAATTAATGTTGTCTCTTATCAATAGGAGCTATGTTTTAGAGTTTTTGTTTGGTTTGATCTTTTTTAGTTTGGGAGGTTTTTTTGTTTGGTTTTTTTTAATGCTTCTCCTCACTGTTAAGCACAGGGTCTGGATTATGGCAGACCTACTTTCTGATCTTGTAAAACCATTTTTTAATCCTATTTCTGTATTGGCTTCATACCTTTTGAAGTTGTAGTAGTGATGCTTATTACTATGTTTACTGAGTCATTCTTGAAATACTAAATTTTTAACTGAGGTAGAAGTTTGCTCTTGCTTCCTTTCTTCATGTTGCTATTAATCCTATTTTTTTCTGCTATTAGAAATCAAGAACAAAGATATAAGTTTTTTACAGTGGACTGCTGTTACTGACCTGTGACCATTTTAATTTCATCTTGCTGTGAGATCCAAACCTTAGTCTTGCTATGGAGAATGGTCTGCTTACTGACACCTGTTGATTACAAGTAAAGCAAGGGCAGTGTGGAGGCTTGCAAAGCTCTACATCCATTGTAAATAAGCAGTTGTGTTATGTTCTACATAAAGAATACAGGATGTCTTCTTAAAGATGGTTTTGTATCTGTAACTACGTTAAATATTAAAATATGGAGTAGAAAATTGCTGAAAAACTTCTAGTTGATAGTACAAAAGATGTTGATCTGAAAATACATTTATAAGAAGTTAGTTTCTGTTTAGTTATACAGAGAGGGAAAATGATAACTTCATATATACATTTTATAGTATTTGACAAAATGATTATTTCATTCAGCCATGTTTCAAGGCTATATATTTATATCATTTAAAAAATAAGAGTTATTTCATAATGTTTTTCAAATGTATTTTGCCCAGAGCTAGAGCAGTTTTGGGAGAATGAATGCTTTAGTCTTGTTTCAGTTGCCCATTTCCTTCTGTAATCTTACTAGTTTATGGGATCTTTTGAAAATTACTTTTTTGCAGGGTTGTATATTGGTGTGCATGATTAAGTCTACCACTTTGGCCTCTAGAATTCTCATTACTTTGTATAATCTAAGAGATAGAAAACACAGCTCAGGTTGTGATTATCTGGTGCTCAAACTTGGTTTTTGACATGCTGTCTTTTTTCCACAGTATTGCCCCCTTTCTTGTCTTCAGCCTTTGCCAATGTATGAGTTTGTCCTCAGGTGCAAGACTTAGCATTTGTTTGAGGTTCCTGCCAGCCTATTATTTCAGGTTGTTGAGCTCCCTCTGAATGGCAACCCTACCCTTAAGCCTCTCAGCTGTGTCCCCATCCCACCTATTTGGTGTCTTGGCAGACTTGCTGAGAGCACATTCTGTTATGTTGTCCAGGGTGTTGAAGTGAAGTTGTGCTGATAGAGATCAACTCCTGAGGAATGACATCTGTAACAATGTGCTAGTTAAACTATGAGGACTGCCAGTTAGACTTTGAAGTATTGACAACTACTCTTTGAGCCTGATAATCCAGACAATTTTCCACCCATCTTGCAGTCTCCACATTCCTCCAATTTGGCAACAAAAATACTATGAGACTGTATTGAAAACCTTGCAAACTTCAAGGTAAACAACACCCCTGGTACTTTTCTTGTGCACTGAACCAGTCATTTCACTGCAGAGGGCAGATTTATCAGGCATGACTTGCCATTTGCAAATCCATGTTGGCTGTTCCTGATCATCTTGCTGCTGTTCTTGTGCTTGGAAGGGGCTTCCATAAGGACTTGTTCTGTAATTTTTTTTGGACTGAAGTGAGGGTGGTCATCCTGTTTTTCTCCAGGTGCTGCTGCTTCACCTTTTTGAAGGTGACTGTATACATTTATCTTTTTCCAGGGACATCCACTGATCACTGCTACTCTTCAGATGTGATAGGGAGAGACCTCTTGTCCAGTGTAATACATGCATCCCATCTAGATCCATAAGCTAGCATATTTCCAGTTTGTTTAAGTGATCCTTAAGTTGATTCTTCTTTCCTGCAAGTAGTACTCCTGTCCTCCAAACACTACTGCTAGTCACTGGGGCCTGAGAAGCCCAAGAGCAGACCTTGCTGGTAAAGACTGGCAAGGTATTGAGTGTCTTAGCCTCTTTCAGTGTTCTTTGTCACTAGGTCTGTCTTCTCTCAGCATGGGACCTGTGTTGTCCTTGCTTGTAGGAGGACATCTGGTATGCTCAGATAATCTTGCTTTTTGTTCTTTGCACCTCTCGCTAGTTTCAGCTTCAGCTGTGGTTTTTCTATTTCTATCCCTGCATTCCTGGAAAGTGCTTAGGTGGTCTTCCTGGGTAACTTGTCTCAGATCCCACCTTCTATAAACTTCCTTTTTGTTTTTGAGCTTTGTTAGAAGTTTCCCATTTAGCCAAACAGCAGATCAGATGGACCCTTCTCATCTTCTATGGAGGTTGTCCTTGAAGATCAACCAACTCTCTTGGGCACCCTTGTCATTCATGACCATCTCTCATGAGATCTAGTCAGGTAGATACCTGAATAATCTGAAATCCATTTTACTATAATCCAGGGGTTTTTCTTTGTTCTGTTACTTGCCTTCCTTGCTTCCCTTAGAATCTTAAGCTGTTATCTCATGATTGCTGCAGACAAGGCAGCTGCTGACTTCCATGTCCATGATTAGGCTGTTTTTTTAAATTTGAGTAAAAAACTCAGTAGAGCAACACACCTCATCAGTTTATTCAGCATTTGTGTCAGTACTTGTCTTCAGTGCATTTGAAATCTGGATTGCTTGTGCTTTACTGTGTTACTCTTCCAGCAGATGAACTGGTGGTTCTGTTCCACTGTGAGGACCAAGTCTAAGTGTGTGAAAGCTTCCCTTGTTCTGTCCTGTGTGTGCTTCTCACCTCGTATCTCCAGCACCTCAAAACCTTGGTTTAGTCAGGTTTAGAAGATAACCTTCTCACGATTCCAAAATTTCTTTTGGTATGTAGAAGCAGTAATTAAGCACAAGTATAGTTCATTTGAGACTGGCTGTGCTTGCCGTCCAAAAGCAAATGACTTATTTGGTATATATCAGGTAAATGCTTGGTTTTGTTTCCACATATTTCAGCACACAAACATGATTTAAATGTTGCCATTTCTGCCTCATTCTAAAATTTAATTTGACCTGATTAGTCAGTGTGCATCTACTCATCTGTTTCTTCTTCATCATAGAGAGAGATACTTGTGTTGAGCTGTTTGTATTTCCTATTCTGCATATCTTAGAATCAGGATTTTAAAAAATTTCAGTATACAGTGGTCTGTACTGGTGGTGTAGGAAACAAAAGTCAGATCTATTGAAACATGTTGAAAAGCAGTAGCTAAGGTTTTTGCCTAGTTAGTTAGCCAAGTTTTGAAAGAAAAAAACGTACACCAAATACACACAAAAACCCCCCCAACACCTACAGTCCACAAAAAGCCCAGAAGTGGTAACATGCTGCAGCTTTTCAGGTGGTTTTCAGGACCACACCCTTATAATGGTGATGGTGTATGTTAATTCAATATTATCTATTTAAGTCTTCAGAAACTTTGTATTTCTGGGGTTGAAGCTTTCATATAAAGATCCAAGAATACACACCTGGTTCTTTTTGGAAAGGACTTGTTAATGCTGCACTTAACTAGCTGAATATATTTTTAGTATTCTGTTCTTTTTGAAGTTGGAAAAGAATTCACTGTGTAAGGTATTACTGTCTACTTTCAATTATAATGAACACATAAAATGTAAAAAAAAATGTTATTTAGTGTTTAGGATTTTAAACATTTATTTAGTGTGGATTACTTGTTCCTTTTGGTTTTGTCTGTTCTAAAATACATCTTAAAACCTGACATAGACTTCAAGCCATCAAGAAGATGAAGAAGTGGTCCTTGTCAGAACAGATCGAAGTGGAAGGGCATGGCCTGTGACTGCACCAGCTGAACCACAGGGGCCAAAAGGAGGACGAAGGAAGAGACCAATGGTAAGTTTTACAAATGTGAGTACTAAATTGTAATTCTGAAGTGATTTTTGTAGTTTTATGGTGCCATAACTGAGTGTCTTATCAGAATGTCAATAGGTAGTTAAAAAGTTCTTTTCAGAAGTTGATTGTAATTAAGTGTTAGAGTACATATTTATTAAGCATATATTAAGTTTATTTTCAGACTGCGTTTCCCTAGGGATCACTGTAGGGCTTATTTAAATGCACATTCAAGGAAAAGTAAGTTTTTCAAGTTATCATAGTCTCTTAGCCAAGTAATTTATACTACATAAAGTTATGTAAATAATGAAGATTAGCAGAGGTGCATGTTTCCCAGAGAAGAAAGATTTTACTGAGATACTCAGGTTTTCAAGCTAATTTTCCTTCTCGTTTTTTCTGATAAAAAATACTACTACTGCTGATAATAAAAATTACGACCTAATCTTTGTAACAAAGTGCTTTGTGGAACAGAGGGAAGCTTGGGGGCTGGAGCAGTGTTTTATTCTTAGGACAATTTCTTGCAGCAGTAAATAAACTAATATTTCAATCTTCTTGGGATAAGAGGAGATGACAATACCTCGTATTTCTAGCAAACATGTTCTTCATTAGTAGAACAGATCAGTTTGTAACAGTGCTATGGAGGAGTGAAAGGCATGGGAGGGTGAAGAATTGCTTGTTATCCTCCTGTTGTTTCCATTTTGGAAAATGATATCTTGCTTTTTGCTAATGACCATTCCCTATGCTCCTTCAGGATTTAGTTTAGTCCTGCTCTAAAGAACAAACTGTTCTCTTGTGCGCTCTGTCTGCGATGGCAACATTTCCCAGCAGATGCACCAGAGTTAAACAAGTTTTCAGTACTATCTGTGTTTGCTGTGTTTCAGTAGTCTGTGACTTGACGATTCAAAATCTTCTGTAAAAAAATAGATTACTACTTGGAGTTTTCCATTTTTGTGAACTGATTAACTGTTTCAGTGAATTACTGTACAACTTTCCCGAGTGGTAATGTTGTAGGTCCGATAGCTTAAGGATATAAAGGGTTTAGTGATTGTGGGAAGAGATTATATTTTTATTTACATGTACTGATGCAGTTGAAGAAAGGGGAAGGTGTTCTTTTCCATAGGTCAAATGAAGCAGCAAGCCCAGTTTTTTCTAGTGTGCTTAGCTTGATTCGTAATTGTTTAAACTTGTTGAAACTATTAGGATCTGAATTTTATAGTTGATCTTTCTCACTAGGTTAATGTTTATTTTCAACATGTTTGTTTCCAGGTCCCTACTCATATAGATAAAGAAAGAGTAAGGTATTTTCAGGATGATGATAGTATGAACCTCAAGGATTTGGTCAAAAATGAGAAGATGAGAACAGCAGAGGATCAAAACTCACTGTTCATGCGTATGGCATCAAAGGTAAGGAGTCCTGTGTATGGATTTATAATTAAGCATTTTATTGTTAGAAATACAAGTGAGGACATGAGGCCTCAGTGCTGTAGGTATCTTGCTTTTGGTTGAAAATTCTGATTGTCTTGAATAATAATGAAGTCTCTAAGATGGTTCTTGTAGGCTTTATTGAAGTAATGGAAACCTGCAGCATGCAGGAAATGTGTGCATTCAGTTCCTTCCTACAGAAGATTGTGCTGCTCTTCTGCCTGTAGAATCTGATATTTTTGAGGTGAACTCTTAAAGTGTGTTATACCGGGTTACTTAGCCCCAACAGAGCAGATTTTCCCCCAAATTAGTGACAAATAAAACCAGCATTTCTTTAGTGTTTAGAATGTATCTTCCATTTAGAAGTTACAAGAATCAATGAGATTTGAAGCAAACTACCTGAAATACCATCAGTATATCCTGCATAATGAGATCATTTATGCTCACGGGCCACACAGATTTATACATTATGGTTTCATGAGTGATTCCACTTAAAAGAGTAGCTAGCTCACAGACAGGTACTGCAGTGCAAATGGAATGTTTAATTTCTGTCATCTAAACTGAGTAATAAAGGATACTTTCTGTGCTTGATATAGAAGCTTTTGACAGAGATGATTTCCAGTAGCTAGGGCACACAGTTTCTTTAGCATGCTTCAAATTTTACTAGGTTACTGCTCCAGTACATTGTGCACCACTGAGCAGGTTTTGAAAAAGTTTCTTGGCATGGAATTGGTATCATCACAGACAAAATTTGGTTTTCCATTTATCGAGAAGGCAAACCAGATCTAGATCCTGGAGAGTAGGTTTGGTTTTGTTTTGTTGTTTTGTTTTTTCTTCTTTTTAAAGCTCTCCTCCTTCAGGTGGTACTTAGACTTGGAAAAGCCATGGTAGTGCCCAGTAAAAAAATATTTAGCCTGCTGCTATAAAACATCTGTCAGGAAGTTGTTCTGGAGAGTTTATCAGAACTTGGTGTGGTTTATGCATCTTCTCATTTAGCTGGTTCCAGTAGAAGTTCTCATTCTCTTCCCCTGGCTTACTCAAAAAAATGATGCCCTTGGAGTCCAGTTAAATAAACACATCTTGTTGCCAGTCTCTGATTTCCTTCTTTACCTTTCCTTCCAAAAAAAAGCCCTGAAACTTCAAAAAGTGTAATAGTGCAAGGTATTAAATATAATTAGCTAGCATATATCATGCAAACATTAACAAGCAATTAAACATGTAAGGACACAAAACTTTGTACTGTGCACATTATATGATAATAAGTATAACGAAGAGAAATGGTTGCCATTTTCTTAAGGACCTTATTCAGCTTGTGTTGTCTTGTCTCCATTAAGTATTTTCTTTAGAAAAGTTAACCTTTCTGAAAAATGGTGCTTTTGTGTGTATCAATGTCTGTATTAAAACATAAGTGGAATGGAATTTAAAAAGTCTTTGACTGAAATCTGGGCATTGAAGGTGAGTCTGTAAATCAATATTAGCATGTCTTTCTGAAATTATTATCAATGTGTTCAATTTATCTTGTGTTTATTAAGATGTTTTCAATACGGCTTCCACGGAGCAGTTTACAGGATTGCTTTTTGTGCTCTGATTCTTTTTAGAGATGTGAAAATAAAAGCAGGCTAATTTTTGAGCTTCCAGAGTTTGGTGATAGCAAATGTTTGCAGCGTCCCTATGAAGGCCTAGGGGAAAGTGCTCTCAAAGAGAAAAATTTTTGTGCTTTGTTGTTTCCAAACTCAGAGGCCATTTGGACTTTTCTGAGAAACCCATGTGCATTCATACAGTTATCTACATGGCTTTCCCCTCAAATTTCTAAACTTTGTGGAAAATACTGTTTGTGTATTCATATCTTCATTGATTTCAAGTTTCTTGACATTATATTAAGTTTTTGACATTGTATTAAGTAATTATTGATGCAAGGAAGATGAGCAAACTTGAAGGGAGATCAAAGATTCTTATATTATTTAGTTTTGTAAATCTTCAAAGGGAAAATTCTCATAATTTTTCTTTGTATTTTTTTTGTTCTGTTCTTTTTTTCTATTCAATTTTGAAATGCTGTGAATTTTCCAAGTTCTTGATGACTGAGACATTTAATGCAAGAGTAGCTATATGAGAGATTCACTCAGCTCACTATTCTGTGTCCAGCAGTGACTGCTTAGGAGGAGTATAAGGACAGGTCACATTTCCAGTGATTCAGCCTTTATGTACTTTTCTGGTCTTTAGTAATTTGGAAGTTTATATGGTACCTCCTTACATGGTATTTCAGTTTTACATTTATGGATAGTTATATTAATTGGGGACTGGACTGAGTATCTCCTGTTACTTCCTTTCTGTCTTCCTTACATCTCTCATTCTATCATCTGTACCTATTGCTGAAAGGCACGAGCTATAATTACTGACTTTGAAGAAAATAGAAAAACAAGTTCTGTATGCGTAATATCTTTGATTAGCATTCTTGTACCTGCAGCCAATTCCTCAAAGATTTTAGTTACTTATAGTGTAAGGATTTCTGGAACAATGGGGAAATTTGATCCATTTAGGAATGGTGCAGAAATAGCCTGGTTCAGTATGTAACTTTTAAAAATAAAGATTCTGTACGAAAAAAGGTGAATTTTGGCAACTGAACTTCTGCATCCATATAGCAGAGGAGAATGCAGTATAGTCTTTAACTTATATAAAGAGGCAATTTTGAAGAAATTAGTCTAGTGAGAGTTTAGAATAAGTACATAAAGAGAAAATGCTTACAGATTGAGGGATTCTCTAGTACTCGGTGCTCATTGCACATGTATGCCACTGATGAAAACATTCTAAGGGACTGAACATCCTCCCAAAATGGGATAAAAATTTATTTAATTGTTTTTATTTAAGAATAAATCCCAGGGCGGGTAAACAGAAGAATAAAGAGTTTCTGGAATTTAAAACAAAAATCAAATCCAAAACCCAACCATTATTTAAAAAGTACTTGTCATGTCCAAGTAAGGAGAATGGAAAAGAGCATGAGCCTAGCAGGCTTAGAAATAAGCTTTGATAAGAAAGATTAAAAAATTATCTTGAGGGAATTACTTTAAGTAATTATTTTGAGTTTTCTAAAAGCATAAAACTAGGCGTTAATCTCATTGGAAGCAAGAAGCCTGCAGGAATGTGGTGTTGAAAAAACCTGATCAAGGTATAATTAGAGCATTTATGAAAGATAAGTGCATGCCAGAAGAGCTAATGAACTAATTGCATTAATATCCTCTATAAATGAGGTCAGAGCGATTCATTTGCATGAGCCATTATTTACAGGGAATAAGTGAAAAACTGTCTCAAGGTAACAGTGTCAGTAAAATGAATTTTAGCTCAAATTTATAGCTCAAATGCATTATTTTAAAAGAAGCTTGAGTTTGAGATGAATAGTAGCAAATGACTGAAACTGAGTGGTCCTCACTTAAATGGTCTGAAAGAAGTCAGGTGTGACATGCTGAACTATGAACTGCTGAGTGTAATTTTTATTCATCCTGAGGAATGGAAGATGGCAATCTTAAAAACGAAAACAGAAAGCAGGAGTAAAAGGTTATTTTTTATTATAAAAGAAGGTTAACAGTGGATTCATCAGGAATCTCTTTTGTTCAACACATACATAAACCATCTGGAGGAAGGGATACTTGATGATCTAATAATTTGTTATCATTACATAGTTATTCAGGACTGTCAAATACACTGGTCACTAAATTATAAGTTGTAGAATTTCAAAATACAAATCTGGGTTTTTTCTAACATTGTGAAACTTGTATCTGAACTGATTCTTAAGATTCACTTTAGAGAGTCACTAGAGAGACGCATGTATTTTAGGGGTGTGAGTCATCTGTCCTATTTTGAATGCTGTCTGAAAGACATTGTGAATATAAAAGCAATTAAGATGTCGAGCTCAGACACAGGAGATTATGCTATAGACCTCTCAAATAAGGAGAAAGAGAACCCACCACATGTATCGAGGCAATAAATTCAAATGAAAGTCGGTTGATGAATGCAAGATGACGGAAATCATGAAGCTGAATGAAGAAGCCGTAACTGTGCATATACCACAAGAGGCTGTTACTGCTTGATTTGAGAGTCGTTGTGAGTCTGCAAACATCGTCACAGTGTTGGTGTGATTAAAAAGAGAAACAGAATTTTGGAGGTTGTGAAAAAAGGGAATTTAGGACCCAGTGAAGACATACAAGGCTACTATAGTGCATCCATGGTGCACTTACAGCTTGAACGCTATCCAAGCTCATAAAGCATGCCCTGTGGTCAAAGGCACAGAATGGTGGCCATTTGAAGAAAACCTTAATAAGCAATAGTTCTTCAGCCTGGGGTGAGGAGAAGGCAGCTGGTAGACTAGAACACACAATTAGCATAAAAGTTTAACAGAAAACAACTCTTTTTGTTTCTTATATGTGAAGTCACAGAGCACAGTTTAACACAAAGGAAGGGTTAGATTTGTGGTGGTGTTGGGTTTTTTTGTTTGTTTGGTTGCTTTGGTTTTTTTTTTGTTTATTTTTTCTCCCAGTGAAGAGGGAAATTGTAGAACTTGTACTATAGAGAGTGAGATGCTGTGGAGGCCTTAATTGTGAGTGGGAGGAAGAAAGATACAGTGACTTTGTGAAGTACAATTTAATTGGTAAACATTAAACAGGGAGGTAGGCTTTTGGCTTTCCATTGTGAAATGCTGAGAGCTGCAAGTGTGTAGCAGAAGTGTCAGTTCTAACTGCATGCTTTGTGCTTTTCCCTATATGTTTTAGCCATTGCTGGAGATTGATTTTTTTAACATAAAATGGTCACACCATGTTAGGAGCAAGCAGCTGAGTTCAGTATGTTTCATTTAAAAACCATTCTAAAAGCTTCTTTCTCCTTTATTTGTTTGTTTCGTTTTGTTTTGTTTTGTTCTTAATAATGTTACAATAATGGACTGTTTCCTGGCTTATGCAACTGCTTTATTTTAGTTTGAGAAGGCTGTGAAGTTC